TCCCCTATTTCCTTTAATATATTTTTTAAACTTTTTTTTTTTTTTTTTTTTTTTTAAATACGTAAAATGGGAGCCCTGCTGCAAATAATTGCCTTTTTAAAAGATTGCATAAAGCAACAGGAGCTTTTGTTTTTAACATGTGAGCTCCACACAAGGTTCTGCACCATGCCGCACGGCTCGGCTAGTCGGTCTGTCTGTAGAGCTGCTGAGCTCTGTCCCAGAGCTGGGGGTACAAAAGGTTCAGCTGGTTAACACCCCTTCTGCTGTCCTTCAGGTAAGATCCCCCGTGTTCGCATGATCACACAGCACCCTAACTTCAGCCAGGGCTGGGACGGGCAGGGCTCCCTGACGGATGGCCCTTCCCCGTGCACGTTGGCGCGCAATGCCTGGGGTTTATACAAGAAAAGGAGAGTTTTGTTACTTGAATTATTTATGGCAGGCACCAGAAACAAATGGTTCCATATTTGGCTCTTGCAGTCACCCCTGAATACAGGGAGCGTGCTGTGGGACAAGAGGTGCCTGCTGGTGGGCGAGGACCTGGGTGGTGTAGGACGCCCTGATGGGTTACGGCAGCCAAGCCAGGGGCTTGATATACACTGGAAAGCAATGTGTCCTCTCACCCTCGCTGGATTCCGGATAGTAAATCTTTATGTAAATATTATCGCGCTGGAAAATGAAACTCTAAGCAATTTTTTAAAATTATTTTTTATTTTTAAAATTTGGAAGATAAATCTTTCCTCTCCCTAATTGTTGCTGTGCTGCTGAGCTCCAGGGGCCTTCCAGCCACCCTCTGAGATCTGTAGCACATGGAGAAAAGGGGTAAGGTGGCAGATGCTCAGTACATAATGACAAAAATCACCAGGCTGTGCTGGTGGTGCTTGCCCCTAGCTTGTGTGTGGTGTGAGACAGCCTCCCCGGAGAGCCCTGGGTCTGGACCTTCCAGCCTTGGTCCTTGCTGAGGCTCACAAAGAGTTTCAGAGGTTGGGAAGGCGGCGTTGTCCAGTGACCGTACCTACGACGCTGTCATGTGTCAGGGCATAAGATGACATCTCACTGCCTGAATTTTAGAGAAATATCCCGTGCACAAGCTGTAGTTGATAGTGATTCGCCATGGCAGCGTGCTGACGTTGCTCCCTACCATCAGGCGCTTGGCCCCCTCGGAGGAGCAGGGCTGGAGCTGAGGTTTGGTTGGGCTCCTGCAGGGTACGTGCCAGCTGACTGCGCCTGGTGGGGCTGGAGTGGCCACGCTGGTGGGGCTGGTGGTCCATGCAGCGCTGGCTGGCCCTGCGGTGGCCGGCGCGAGGCATGGGGCGGGTGGAGGACAGTCCTTTGGGCTCCACCGCTTGGTCCAGAGTGGCTCTGAGATTTCCCGGACCAGCAGCTTCTGCCTGCAGCACCATGGTTTTAAGAGCCAGTAATGGATCTACTGTTGAGGAGTCTGTGTTGGCCTTTTGTGTGGCCATCTCTGCTTTTGGCCATCCCAGGGTGCTGCGGCCATGGTGCCGCGCTCCGGCTGGAGGCAGGAGCCTGGTAGCTCTGGGACGTGCTGGGGCCCCAGGGATTGAGTGCTCCTTCTCCAGCCCTTTCCCTGTGCCACCTAGGATTTCTGTGCCTTCTGGTTTTCTCTCTTCTGGGTTGTCTCTGCCTCGAGCTGAGGAGTCCTTGTCTGTAAGTCTCTCCTTGCGAGAGCTCTGGCCCATGGGTGAACGTCTGCTCCGTGGCATCAGCCCCCGCTGAGCCTTGCGGCCGTCCCTAGGATGGGGCCAGAGGCTGCGATCAGTTTGTGCCGCCTTGGTGTTGCTTTCTCTGAATCCTCAGCTCTGTGTATCCCTGTCTTTGCAGTGTATTGTCAGAATTTTGCCCCGAGCTTTAAGGAAAGCGAGATGAATGTTATAGCAGCCGATATGTGCACCAACGCCCGCCGGGTCCGCAAGCGCTGGCTGCCGAAGATTAAGTCCATGCTGCCGGAAGGGATGGAGATGTACCGCACGGTCATGGGCTCCACCACAAACAGTGTCCCCCTGGATCCTGAATTCCAGCCCAACACTGCTCAGGTCTTTGAGCAGCGAATCTATGCAGAAAGGAGGAGCGATTCAGGAACTATAGTAGCCTTGAGAACTAACACAGTGAACGTAGAGCTAAGCAATGGATCCAACCAGTCCTTCGAACAGAGCGAGGATGCCGAAGGGGCCGGCTCTGTGATAAAGGAGGCAGCTGCCACAGATGCGATGGCATCAGATACCCAAAGCACTCCGCAACCTTTCGAACAAGGTTCGGGCTCCTCCAGCCGGCCTGAAACTCCCGTGAGAAGACAAGATGGTACTTACGGAGGGACTTTATAAAGAGAGCAAACGTTTCGTGACCTATAAGGGATCTGTAATACTAAAGCTGCTTGCATGCATTACTAATACAAAACAAAAAATGTGATCAAGCCACTTACCTACTGAACTGCTACTGTTGCCTGAAAAAAATGTGATTTTTATTCTGCTTGTATTTAAAATTTATGAAGGAAATAATCGCATTCGTTATACTGTAAATGACTAGGTCTGTGGCGACCTACTTAAAAAAAAAAATATCGGGCTCCTTTTTTGATATTCCTGAGGTTAGTCTATAAGATTGTAGCTTTTTTCTTTTTTTTTTTCCTTTCTTTTTTTTTTTTTTTTATTTTAAGAAGGGGAGGAGAAAAGCTAGCCACCCCCCCCAACCACCACCACGCCCCGTCATCACCACCCCATCCATTACTCAGCTCAGAAGTAAAGCCATCGTTAACCTTGTCCTCTAAAGAAAGTTTTACCGTCACTTAACAGGAAAGCGAGGTGTGTTAGGGTACAAGTGCTGTGACTGGCGATGTTCGTCTCTAGCAGAAGGGCTCAAGCCAAGTGGGACAGGGTGGGGGAAATCGTGAAAGGCTTCTGGTGTCGGAGGGAGCCCCGTGCCATGGGTGCTGCGGGGCAGGGGGCTGCGGGGCAGGGGGGCCCGCCCAGCCGCTGCCGGAGGCCGGCGGGACCTCCGTGCTCTTGTCTCGGGGAGTTTTATCCGGATCCCCGGAGCAGGGATGGTTCCGCAGGAGTTCAGGCTTGCACGTGTCGGGAGGACTGCGTGGGATGCAGGTGGAGACCCTGGCCAGTGTAGTGGTTGTTGTCGGTTTTTTTGCCCAACGCGGCTGGGTTTTGGGTTTGGTTTCTCTCTCCCTCCCTCCCAGCGGCTCCTTTTCGTTTGCTTCTCCTTGCTTGCACCTTCACGTCACCCGCTGCTTGGGCGAACGGGCTCGCGTCACCCCGCTGCAC